CGTCGTCGTCGTCTCTCTCTCTCTCTCTCTCTCTCTCTCTCTCCACCACACACACACACACACACACTCTCTCTCTCTCTACTATTACAATACGATTTTAATTTTAACCATAATGAATTTCAATAATAATCACAATCAATTCACGGCACCTAACGTAGCCACACGCCGCTCTCATAAGCCTACGTTATCTCTGATAACATCATCAACACTATATATCTTACTTGTTTGTGAGCAGCACTCCGTCCAGATATCCGGTCCCAGCAGACCCCGGCACTCCATCCACATAACTCTGAAAGCAGCAAGAGTATACAGAGCGTGTGTATTCCCCCTCTATCGCACCTATCATCTCATATCTCATCTACCCGCTATCTCACCTGCCTGCTATCTCACATCTCCCCACTATCTCAACTGCCACCTATCTCAACTGCCTGCTATCTCACTTCCCGATATCTCATCTACCTGCTATCTCACCTGCCTGCTATCTCACATCTCCCCACTAACTAATCTGCCACCTATCTCAACTGCCTGCTATCTCAACTGCCCGATATCTCATCTACCCACTATCTCATCTACCCGCTATCTCACCTGCCTGCTATCTCACCTGCCACCTATCTCAACTGCCACCTATCTCATCCACTCGCTATCTCATCTACCTGCTATCTCACATCTCCCCACTATCTCATCTGCCACCTATCTCAACTGCCTGCTATATCTCACTTCCCGATATCTCATCTACCCGCTATCTCATCTACCTGCTATCTCACATCTCCCCGCTATCTCAACTACCAGCTATCTCATCAGCCCACTATCTCACCTATCATCTGCCTGCTATCTCACCTCCCTACTATCTCATCTCCCGCTATCTCACCTATCATCTCCCGCTATCTCACCTGCCACACTCCTCCGTCGCTCGACCACACGAAGCATGCGTGGTGCCAGAATCCGTCGTTGACGATGGCTTCCANCTCAACTGCCTGCTATCTCACTTCCTGATATCTCATCTACCCACTATCTCATCTACCCGCTATCTCACCTGCCTGCTATCTCACATATCCCCACTATCTCATCTACCCGCTATCTCACCTGCCTGCTATCTCACATCTCCCCACTATCATATCTGCCACCTATCTCAGCTGCCACCTATCTCAACTGCCTGCTATATCTCACTTCCCGATATCTTAACTACCCACTATCTCACCTACCCGCTATCTCAACTGCCCACTATCTCACCTATCATCTGCCTGCTATCTCACCTCCCTACTATCTCA